AAGTGTTGCAGGAAGTAAACTGTATTTCATTGGAAAACTGCACTGTCTACGTACAGCCCACCTTCCCCAGTTATCTGTACTCTTTCATTGTCTTTGAACTATTTTTACAATTTTGAAAGTGTAGATAACTGATAGATATGCAAACCGTCCTTCATGGCAGAGGTTCCCTTCAAGCTGTCAGCCACATTCCTCGTGGGAAAACCAACTAACATACACAAAATATTTATGCATTCAATTCAACATTCCTTTTTCCACATCAAATTGTCCTTTGAATACTGTGATGGCATTGAGCAAGTTAAATAAAAGCTTCAACATCTGTTCATTTTTATGTATGGGAGTCATGGTTTTACCTTTTCTGAAAATTATCTTTTAAAAACATAAATCTGGTCATGTTACTCCCCAGCTTACCTGCCTCCCAGCTTCCCGACTGCTTTTGGAATGAATCCCAAACACTTCCTCAGATGGATAAGGCCCTGCCCGGCCAGGGCCCAGCCTGCCTCTTGGACCTCATCTGCTCACTCTGCCCTTTGCCAGGACTCCGGGACTACTGGCCCTTTTTCCAGCTCCCTGAGAACTTCAAGCCTGTTCCCGCCCTGTGGCTCCTATAACTACTGTCCCTCAGCCTAACCCGCTCTCCTCATCAGTTCAGTTCAGTTCAGTCGCTCAGTCGTGTCCGACTCTTTGCGACCTCATGAACCGCAGCACGCCAGGCCTCCCTGTCCATCACCAACTCTCAGAGTTTACTCAAACTCATGTCCACCGAGTCGGTGAAGCCATCCAACCATCTCATGCTCTGTCGTCCCCTTCTCCTCCCACCTTCAATCTTTCCCAGCATCAGGGGCTTTTCAAATGAGTCAGTTCTTCGCATCAGGTGGCCAAAGTATTGGAGTTTCAGCTTCAGCATCAGTCCTTCCAGTGGATATTCAGGACTGATTTCCTTTAGACTCTTCTGATGGATGGCTCTTTCTTAGGAGTTACTCTCAACTGGATGGTCCCACCTCAAAAAACTCTTCTCAATCACCCTATCAAAAGTAACATCCCCAAGCTGTTTTTTAATCATTTCTATCTGAAATAATAATAATAGTGTTATTATGTATTATATATTATTTAACATTTTAAATATCATAACATATAAGCATAATTTATTATACTTTTTATAAATATATATTTGTTATATAAATATATTAATATCATTCAGCTAGCTACTTGATTATTTATTACCTGCCCACCCCAATTCTATCACAATAGGATCTTGATATTTGGCTCCACTATATCCAGAGCTTCCCAGGTGGTGCTATTGGTAAAGAACCTGCCAGCAAACTCAGGAGACTTAAGACATTGGGTTTGATCCCTGGGTCAGGAGGATCCCCTAGAAAAGGGAATGGCAACCCACTCCAGTGTTCTTGCCTGGGAAATCCCATGGACAGAGGAGGCTGGTGGGCTACAGTCCATGTGGTTTCAACCGAAGCCACTTAGCGTGCGTATTGTCCACTGCCTAGAAAGATTCCAGGCACATGGTAGGCACTCAATAAGTATTTGTTGAATAAATCCCTGGGTGCATGATGCTCCTAGAAGTAGTGAAGTCCTCATCGCTGGAGGTATTTAAGCATGGTTTATACAACCGCTTGACAGGGTCTTAGGAAAGCTATGGGCACAGGCTCAATCACAAGAATAAAAGACCATTTTGGTCCCTCTAGGACTGTGCGCTGATGATTCAGTGGCTACCGTGCCCTTTCTACTATGCAAATGGGAAAAGCAAAGGAGTATTCCTCAGTCATTTCCCACCGAGTGATAGTTCGCACACCCCTCTTCCTGCTGCAATATCATCTCAGCATTAAAATGTTGAAGCTAATCAGACATTTAATTTCAAAGTGGAAGGTCATTATCTTGTCACAAAATTTTATTCCAATTACTTTTTTTTTCTATTATATGAAATGAATTAAAAGTAGCACAAAACATTGGGAGATCAAACAGTCAATCAGAAGCTCATTAAATATCATTGAAATTGGTGCAATAAAAAGCATTTCCCATGGCTGACTTATTATTTAAAAGCTATATTCTGGATGGCTCAAGGAATTGACATGCTGCCAGTCAAAAAATCACCCTATCCATAAATAGCCACTTGGCTTTTTAAAAGTTCACTCTTTTTTTTTAAGTAAGAGTAAATACATAAAAAGATTTAAATCCTAGGTGTAATTACCATCCTGTCAGCCCCTGAGACCCTAAAGAGAGGATATCAGCAAAATCACTGATAATTTGGGCTAAAATTTACAGCAAGATGCTTACAAAAGTGCTGCCAGTGATCTCATAAACACTTCAGTACATTACATTTATATACAATACTCAGGTATGCACGACCCCAGGCAGGGAACAGTGGTCACTTAAAATTTTAAAATTGAGTTCAACTCCACATTTGGGAGTAAATGCCCATTTCATTTTCTAAAACGTGATTATTAAGCATTTCATTTTTCTGTGGATCCAGACATAGGTGACTGCTAGCATTAGGATCTAAAAGCTGGTCATTTCAAAAATTCTAGTATTTTTCCTCTAGGGTTTCTTTTTATTTTTTTAGTTAAACCACTAATTTTACCATTCAGTTTTATAGAAACATCCACTTCTCAACATATAGAATGGCAGATCCTTTCCAATGGTAAACTATAACAACAGAAGTACTGTTCCCAGTCTCTTAAGGTGCTTAAGTGGTGAGGCTGATACAAATTAAAAATACATGAGAAGAAAAAGCTCCCAGGTACAGGAAATTATTTCTTCAGTAGTAGAACCAATGAATTTCTTCCCCACCACTCTCCCCCCGACCTACTCACACTGGCACCACCCAATTTCTTTTCAAAAGCCAGGACTTATTGGCAAATTATCTGGGAGTAAAGTGGGAGGAAAACATTTCAATGCAAAATTCAGAACTGCTTTATAGAAAGAAAAGTGTGGGGAGGTTTGTTATCATTTATTTCCTGCAGTGTATCATTCAATTTCAGCTGTCTCACCTCTGAGAAGCAGCTCCCCCATTTTTCACTTATGTGCCTAAGAAACATCTCCCTGGCATCTCATTCTCTTTTCCTGTCTTTCACCAGCATTTCATTATTTCTTAACTGTCCCTCTCATGCTTGTCTTCCTTTTTCTTACCGATCCACGTGTCCTCATTTAGCAGTTTTCAGAAGCCAGGGAGAAACGTTGCAAATAATGTTAAATATGATTAATATCTTGAATTCCTTGAAATATGACATGCATGAGTTACAATGAAACCTCTTTTATTTCCCCATGAAATGCTTTTGCATAATGAGAACGAAAATGTCCTCTATGCCCTAATCAGCCCTGACAGTTCCTGGACTCCCAAATACTTTTATTTATGGCATTATTTATTTCATCTCTAATAAATGGAGGGGAGAAAACCGCAGCAGGATCTGAGGAGGCCGCAGGAGAGAGGGAGACTGGAGGGCGGAGGAACGCGGAAGCTGATCCTGCCAAGAGAAAGGTTTCCTGAGGAAGGGAAGTCTGGCGAAGGAGAGACCCAAGTCCTCAGAAGAGGAAAATGGGTCACTTTTCCAAGACTAAGAGGAAAGCTCTGAAAAGGAAACTAACTTCACAGTGGAGAGATGACAGGCACACATCAAGGAGGAGACGGACCCAGAATTCTAACCTGGAGAGTGAAGACTGAAGGCTAGAAACCAAACCTGGGAGGGAGTTGACCTAGGGGAGGGGTGGTATGTTCCCAAAGTGGCTGGGAGAAGCCAGGACAGTCCTCTAGATTTGAAGGCATTTCTAGCCCATGGGATCCTTCTCTGAACGACAGAGGTGCTTCCCTCATTCAACGAGTGAAACTGTGTGTCGCCCAGAAACCCTGCCCTGGTGGCCTCAGACGCAGTGAGGAGCTGCCTGCGCAACGCGGAGAGCCAGAGCTTTTGGGCAATCTTGGTCCGCCCCCCACACCCCCCCCCCTCAAATGACATTGTTGAGAGTATCTAACCACCATCCCCAAAGGAGGTAACTGGTCATATTTTTTCCCCTAAATTGCAGTCTACCTGCTACAAGAAGTGAGAATTTGCATATCTGGGTACATCTGTGCAACTCAGCCACACACTTGAGTAGCTGACTTTGGGCAATTTCCTCAAAGTGCCTCAGTTTTCTCATCTGTAGAATGGGGAAGCAGGATTCTTTTATGCTCTCTCATAGGAATCTAATGAAATAATGTAAAAGTCTGATGCTTTATGTGCTCTTATGACAGCATGAACTCGAAGGCCATGAGCTGGATATAGACAACAGCCCGTGGGCGCGCCAACAACTCGCAGCAACCTGGGTCAAGCCTTCAAGATGTTCTTTTCAGAAGGCTGGCGGAGCAATTTCCGATAGGCAGAAGAGCGCGGTGTATCATCTTTCCAAGGTACACACGCACCCCAGCTACCCCGCCCCGCCCCGCCCCGCCCCGCCCCAACTACTCCCAGCTGGGTGCAACCCGAGAGTTTGGGGTCGCGCAGGGGGCGCCACGAGCGCCGGCCTAAAACCGGGCCCCGCCCATAACAGCAGGCGCCTCAAGTGCACGGGGCTCCGAAGTCTCGTCCCGGCCGGAACCTCGCGCTGTTACCAGGACGCCCTCGGGGTCCCGGCTCTTTCCTTCCCTTCCCCCGTCGGAGGCGCACGCGGGGCTCGGCGACCACGCGGGCGGCAGCGGCGGCACCAGGCTCCGCCCCCGCCCCCATTATCATTAGCAGATATTACCCTAAACACTTGCTCTTTACCTCCTTTCTCCCTCCAGGCATTGGCGAGGCAGCCTGTCAATCAGCGCTCGGGCGGCAGCCCCCCGCGCAGGGGTTCGGCGATGCCAGGCTTCGCGACAGGCGGCGGCGGTGACGGCGGCCGCGGCACAGACACCCACCCTCCCACTCGCGCGCACCCGGGCACAGCCGGCGGGCGGGCGGCAGCGGCATCCTCGGAGCCCGGCGCCGGGCGCCGAGGGGGCGTGCAGCCGGGAAGCGGCTGGGAGGCGCAGGATGGAGGAAGAAATGCAGCCGGCAGAGGAGGGGCCCAGCGTCCCCAAAATCTACAAGCAGCGCGGCCCCTACAGCGTCCTCAAGACGTTCCCCGGCAAGAGGCCCGCGCTGGCCAAGCGCTACGAGCGACCCACCCTGGTGGAGCTGCCGCACGTGCGGCCGCCCCCGCCGCCCTTCGCCCCGCACGCCACGGTCTCCATCAGCAGCAGCGAGCCGCCGCCGCCGCCGCAGTTCCAGGCGCAGGGATCTTTCCCCCCCGGGCCTGGCCGGGCCAACGCCGCCGCGTCGTCGTCGTCTGCGTCCGGCACGCCCGCCGCGCCCCAGGGCCACCTGAGAACTACGGCGCCGCCGCCCGCGGCCCCCGCCGCGTCCTCATCCTCTTCTTCCGCCGCCGTCGTCAGGTACGGGTCGAGCCCGGCGGCCGCCGCGGGCAGCAGCAGCAGCACGGGCGGCGACGGCGCCAGCCTGGAGCTCAGCGCAGGTAGCAACTTTCGGGCGCAACTTTCCGTCCCGCGTGGGGGGTGGGGGGGAGGGCAGGGCGGGGCCGCGGGAAGGAGACGCCCGGGCACCGCGGAGAGCCTGCCGCGCGCTGGGCCCGGAGGGAGGGCAGCGCGGGGAGAGCGCGGGTGGGCAGGGGGCGCGCGCACCGGCTGCGGGAGGACCCGGACGTCCGAGCGCACCCCGGCGGCCTCCACGCGCGGGCGGCAACTTCGGGCGCTTCCCCGCCGCCGCCGCGTCCCGGGCTTCCGACGGCGAGTGCGCGCCTCTTAACAGGTGTCTCCAACGCTCGGCGCCCGGGGAGGGCGGCGGTGGCGACGGGCGGCCTGGCCGGCGGGGGGCTGCGGGGCCCGCGCGCGGGCTGGGAGTGGGGGCCGGACACCCTCGGGGGGCAGCGGCGGCCGCTCCGGGAGAGGCTGGCGCTCCCCGGCGACACTCTCCCGTTCCTCTCTGCGGCCCCACTTTTCCCTTCTTCTCCCCTTCAGCTCTCTCCCCCCTTCATTTCTTTCCCTCCTCTTCCTTCGCATTTGCTCTCTGACGCTCTCTCCCTCGCTCTGTCGCGGTCCCTCCGCGGGCCCCAGGGCGGTTTCTTGGGTTTTTTTTCCTTCTGTGCTAGCGCGCGCGCTCTCCCCCTTTTCCCGTCCCCGCGGGCGCGGTAAGACGCGGGGCTCCCCCTGCTCCGGTCCCGCGGGCGGGGCGGGGCGGGCGGCCGCGACTTCAGGGACGGAACCCCCGGCGCCGCAGGGCCCGCCGCCCGCCGGGTGGGCGCCGCTGCACGGCGGGATCCCGCGCCTCTCGAGCTTTCTGGGCCCCGGCCCCTTTCGGGGAGCAATCCCCCCCAGGGTACGAGACTTCTGGTAGAAGCCGGCCCTCCTGCCCAGCTGCGGGGAGGGAGGCGGGCTGATTGATGGGAGAGGCCGCAGGCCCCAGGGGTGCTCTCTGCTTCCTGGGGACGCGCAGCCCCGTTTATCCCGCTCCTCGGAGCTGAAAAAGTTCCTGCTCAGGCCTTTGACGGCACTTCGGAGCCCTCCGAATCCTGCATATGAGTGAATCCAAAGCCTTTTTTTTTTTTTTCCTCCTAGTGAAAATAGGAGCATTGTCTTGAAATGAGTTATAGAAGCCTAACCTCTTGTTCTGTTGTTTGTCAATATTTTGACATATGAAGGATTGGTTTTGAGAAAGAAAACCTAATTGCAGGTTATAGTGAAGACTTGTCCTGTCACATCCCTCAGTGATTTGGAGGGGTTCTTGTGTGGATGTCCTCATTGTTTGCAAGAGGTGTTTTTTCCTGTATTGATATTCTGTTGTGCTTTTGTATTCGTTGTTAGGCTATCCTGCTTTCATTTTCCTCATTTTTCTAGTGTTTGCCCCCTTTCTTTGTGAGATTTGTGTGCTTTCTGGGTTTGGGTTCTGATTTTCTCATCAGCTAGTTCATGGTCATTCCTTATTCATTTCCTCGCTCTGCTTTCTTGCTGTTCAGAAGTTTGGGTCTTTTCCCATATTCTGGACTTTGTGCTTACTGCTTTGCACAACCTCCAAGCCGCCATGTTCACTGGGGGTTTCCCCCTCTTCATCTGCGCACTTTGGTCTTTAATCTCATCTTGCTTTCTCCTTTCAGACTTTGCTGACTGTGTTTCAGTCCTTCACCTTTTTTAAGAGTATAAGCCTGCCCCCTTTCATTTCCACGTTCATCCATAGTTTTAACCTTGCTTTTTCCTGCTGTTTTTCCCGTATTCTGTTTTCTGCACCAGTTACTTGCTCTCCTTTCCAGGGCCCCTTCTTCCCTGGCAGTTTCCCCACTCTCATCCATGAAGAGTTTCTGTGGTTTGGTTTTTCCTGCTTACCTTGTTCTGAATGTCTTCTCTCAGTGTTGACTCTGTTGTCCTGTTTAGTATGTCTCTGTCCCCAGGTGGAAATCATGTCACTGACTCTAAAAGAGTGAAAAGGAGCTTGCTGACGCTCCTCAGATTCCCTGTATTTCCTTTTTCCCTTTATTTTCAACATATCTTCTTATTTTCTTTTATTTTTTTCTTTAATTTTTTTTTTTTTAAGAGAGCTCGTGGAGTGATAAGCTTGATAGCCCCAAGAATAGGATGCATGTGCTTGTTGGAACGATGGGAATTGCGTTGTAGGTTTATTCCTAGCAGTAAGGAAAATCAGTTCAGTTCAGTGGCTCAGTCGTGTCCGACTCTGTGACCCCATGGACTGCAGCACACTAGGCCTCCCTGTCCATCACCAACTCCCAGAGCTTGCTCAAACTCATGCCCATCGAGTCGGTGACCACATGCAACCACCTCATCCTCTGTCGTCCCCTTCTCCTGCCTTCAGTCTTGCCCAGTATCTGGGTCTTTTTCAGTGAGTCAGTTCTTGGCAAATGGTCAGGGGCAAAAAAAAAAAAGACCTTAGTGCTAGACATCGTGAATTGTGGTCATAATATTAATCACTGGGGACAAAGCCATCTCTTAATGGGCTCAGTGATGTGAGTGGCCCTCAGAAGGACAGGCAGCTGAAGAGATGATTGGCTCTTTGAGGAACTAGTGGTTCCACTTTGAACCAGTAAGGGTGTGTGCCCAGACAGCCATGTAAGCATACTTGGTGGAGTGGAAGGTAGGGGTGGGGTTCGCTTGTTGCACCCTCACTACAGTGCTATTGCAGTGTTATTACAGTGTCTCAGGCCACCTGGTAAACTGAAAATAATCAAAACATCAGTGAGATGAAATGAGTGAAGGATGGAAGAGAGATAACTGAGCGTCCAGAGTAAATGCTGTGAAAAGATGAAAGGGTTGAAGTGAACCCTATTTGCCATTAAGGGCCATAAACCATCGAGAGGAGACACATGATTTAAAATAGATTTTTCAGTGTTCTTATAAAATCTCCTGAAGAGAATAATTTTCCTTAAAAGGGGTAATATACCATGGTTCTAAAAGCATATTTTTCCTCTGTGGGAGGCTTAGAGTTAAAACCCACGTAGATCTTGATATGCAGCCTAAATTTGGCATCAGGAAATGGGAAATTGCATCTTTAAGCAGAGTACAATCAAAAATGAATTACAATAAATCCTATATAATTGCATAGGTCATTCTCTTTAATGAGATTTTATTAACCTGACTGTCAAGCTTTTGAGTCAGGCAGATATTTTATCTTCTTCAACTGATAAAAGTGTCAGCTATAAACCACCATATAAATATTCATAAATCTACACATCTGTGCCAGCCTATCAGCATCATTCTTTTGGACATTAAGAGCATTCTAATTACTTTCTGTCTAGCAGAGCTGAAATGCTGCCTGTTATAGTATGTGCTTGGCAGGCATGATCGCTTTTGTTTGCCATCACAAATAGCAGCATCCTATTTTATATACCGATGGTCCAGAAAATATTCAGGGATTGACTGAGCAGGGTGAATATTAGGAAGCACCATCTGGTTTTGATAGCACCGAGTATATTAACTCATCTGTTAATTTTTGACACATCATTGATTTATTTATTTAGAAAAATTGCATCCTGTTTTGCTGTGTTGATGTTTGCCATTAGGGAAAAAAAAACTGATGGCTTTTTTTTTAAAGACATACAGTAGTTCATTGATTTGAGAACAGGGTGATGCTTCCAGAGATGCTTTCATTTTGTAACTTCTATTTTCTCTGCCACAAAGTCCTCTCATAGAAAGAAGTTATGTTAATGTTTTAAGAAAATCATGTATTTTGAGCTAGTTGGAAATCATTTTGGTAGATTATAATAAATATATGGATACATGGTAGTATAGGTCACAAATTTTTTTCTGCTTTTGCATTTTTAATATTAATATATTTCACCCTTCACTGGGCTAAAATCAAAAGGTTACCACTAATCTTGACTACTGTGATCTCCTTCATAGAAACAGAATACTCTTGGGGATCTGCTGTGATGGGCAAATTCCATTCAAGGCTTTACTTACAAAGAAGGATGTTAAAGTAGGGAGCCTGTGTTTCATTGCTGAGTTCCCATCCCTCTTCACTTATCAGATTTAGGATGGATTAAACCTCTTAAATTCTGAAGAATTTCTAGAAATGACTTTTTGAATTACAAAAACAATCATGGGTTCAGATTCTGAAATCAGACTAAGCACAATTTGCAACATGATGTTATCTCCCGACAGGTTTCACAAAGCAAAATAAATCTGAGAAACGTCATTTTACAGTGCTTTATGATTGTGATTTTTAAAAAATATTTTGTGATATTTCATTTTAGAGAAGTTAGAGATAAAGAACGTTGTGTTAAAGCCTCTCTGTAATCTGTTGACTTCCTTGCTATCACTTGAGTGGAACATTCTGTGACTAGTGGAGGGGAGGGAATTCAAAAATTTAAAATACATGTTCACACTTTGCTCAATTAAGAATCATGGATGAATGTGCCATACAACTGTGTTCATATGAAAACAGAACTTTTCTCCATTTCTTAGCAGTAATGGGCATCACACAGTAGCTGCATTTCTAATTAGATTCTGTCTGGAAAGGTGAAGGATTGCTCGCTGCAATATGTGTTAAGTGGAAAGATTTGCTGTTTTTCACCAAGTATGATAGTAACATTTTTCATTGCACTCTTCAATATATTGACATAAAATACTATTCAAATATTATAAAGTACTGAAAAGAAGAAAATTCAGCCTTTTAATGGCTTCAGTGGCTATTTTTACATATATCAGTTCTGAGAACAAATTCTGAACAAAGCATTTGGAAAAACTGCAGGCAAGAACTGTTTTATGGCTATAACTATTCTCTGATGTTCTGAATGCGCTTTAATACGTTATCTTCATAATATAGCATAATACATAATGACTTTTTCTCAACATGTTACGAGTTTATCCTTCACTTAAGAAAGCAAATCATGCTTGTCTACACATCAGATTTTTTTTCCCCTTAAAATCTATACCGTAATGTGATTTATCAATATTCAGACAACTGAACTCCTTTTAGGACACTGGATAAATATATTCAAGCTGTTCTTTCTAAGCAATTCTGTTCTAGTCTTTCATATTTTGTTTCTTTAATCAAGGTTATATTAAAGGTGTATAGGCTATGAATCAATTGGGACTATTCTGATTAAAATGCAAACAGCAAATACAACTTCAGGTCTGGAATGGGATTATAGGATTAAATGAATGAAAACTGCTAATGTGCTAGGATTGAGAATCCCCAATCAATATTGTCCTTTGATTTTACTAATAAAAGAACAAAAACCTGGGAGTAAAAAATGAGAATGCAACATGTTAAACCTCTCCACTTTATGGTTCAGCTGTTTACTTTCTGATTTATTTGGTTTTGGCCATTGTAAGATAGAATACCCAACTATTTGAAGTCTTTCTCCATTACGTTTCAGTTCAGATCATGAGCTCATTTCTTCCTTTCCACCTTGCTGGGGGCAGAGTCGTCGTGACTTGCAGTGTTTGGTGTAGGAAAGATAGTTCCCATATACCCATCCCTTTTTCTTCAAAGTAGGAAGCCAGCTTTATCTTGGCTGCTACTTGGGTCAAGTTCCCGGCCCGTCAGTCAGCTCTGGCCTACCACTATACCTGGCAAGTAGTTTTTCATTCAGCACTCAAAAGTAATTGTGGTTAAAAAAACAGGCCTGTGCCTCATATTTGTGGGATTCAGGATAAGAATACAAATGCTGTAAACTAAGATCCTATTTTATCTACAAGAGTCCCCACGTGTATTCAGTAAGTATATCTTGAGATACTGTGCTGGCCCTCGAGCTCCAGTCCACTCATGGAACACGCAGTCTCTGAGGTCTCTGCTGAGCTGAAGGGTACAGGCCTCTGTGACTTGTCCTTTTTCCTGAGGGATTTAGGAATGATAGCATTTTATAGACTTGGGAGATGTGAGGGGTGCTTCCTGATGCTCTGGGCCTTAGATAAATTATTAAATAGTTAGAATGTACCCTCTCCCCCTGATATCTGAGTGACTTTAGGGAGACTACTAAGGCAAAACAATGAAGAGCGTGAAGCACTGCGTGGAGGTTTCTGAAGGTTGGTTTTGCTGGTCATTAACCTGGGTTTTCTAGAGAAACCAGTTTTCTTAAATCACAATTATTCTGGTTTGTTGTCCCCAAAGAAACCCTTGAGCATCTCACAGTTTTTCAGTTTTAAAGTTCCGGGGACGGCAAGTGACTAGTTGTTGTTTGGACACTCAGTCCTGTCCGACTCTTTGAGACCCCGTGGATTGTGGCACGCCAGGCTTCCCTGTCCTTCACCATCTCTTGAAGCGTGCTCAAACTCGGGTCCGCTGAGTCAGTGATGCCATCTGACCATCTCATCATCTGTCGTCCTCTTCTTGCCCTGCTTTCAATCTTGCCCAGCATCAGGGCCTTTTCTAATGCGCAGGCTCTTTGCATCAGGTGGCCCAAGTATTGGAGCCTCAGCATCAGTCCTTCAGTGACTAGTTATGTTTCTATAATAAACAATAGATGTTGGCATCTAGAATCTACAGTATTTTGTTTGTTGCCAGTATTTTACATAGAGAGAAGAGGAAATAAGAGACACCCTCGTTGCCAAACATAAACCCTAAAAAAGTACCTCTCTGTGGAATTTATAAATTGCCCGTTCTGGATGGTGGTCTACAAAGAAGAGAATGTTCTTGTAGCATTTACGTTTAGGGTGAATTTTCAAAACCCTTAGACTGACAACCTTGAGTCACATTTTCACAATATCGACCAGGACGGGGTGGGGGGATGGCTTTTCTGTATTTTTTCTTTTGGAGGTGAACTGATTGCTTTCTATGAGTTTTTTGCTTTCCACTGATTTACAGTTAATATGCTTTAGAATACGTTTGTGGAAACTAACTGGCCCTCTGTGTACGTGCCAGTTAGAGATCTGGTGGGAGAAGCCCTAAGAAGGGCACTGTTGCTTTGCAGATGCTGCTGCTGTAGATCAGGCTAAGTTATCAGATAAAGTAAAAGAAAGAGTTGCGAACCCAGATGTCGGATGACACAGTCTTACTTTGGGGCTCCTCCTCCTCATTTGCCTCAGGGCCCACTCCTTGTTTTATCTTAGATGTTTAGTGAGCACTTCGCATCGGGGAGCAGCGTCCTCTCAGTGGGGATTGTATCAGCTGATTGATAGCAAGGGCGTGAGGGCGCTCCAGAAATAGCAGTGATGATTGCTTTGAGCGCCCCTGTCAGTGAGGAGTTGAGTCTGCAGGGCTGGCTTGATTCATTACAGTGAGGATATCAGTGAAGCCAAAGGTGTAAGTTCAGAGCCATGCAGGCCAGTCAGTGCCATGGACAGGGGGTCTCTACTCGGCGCCCTGGTCCCACCCAGCCGCTCCCCAGAGTCGAGTTGGGGCAGCTCATCGGGAGCAGCAGGAAGCCGGGCATCCCGGTCCGTGTGGATTCACTGTGTCACGCGGGTGTGCGGCAGAGAGCAGAGGTCTGTGTCTCTGACATTTCTGACTGTTGAACTCCAAGTCGAGGGCCCTGTTTGTCCCGTGTCTTGGCTGTCAGGCTCTGACGTGTCTTCTCCTCTGTTTCAGAGAGTCGTATGATCTTGGACGCTTTTGCTCAACAATGCAGCCGAGTCCTTAGCCTCTTAAATTGTGGAGGCAAACTTCTAGACGCCAACCATTCTCAATCCATGATATCTTGTGTGAAGCAGGAAGGCTCAAGTTACACTGAAAGACAGGAACCATGTCCTGTTGGCAAAGGGGTCCACAGTCAGACCTCAGACAATTTAGACATTGAGATGCAATATATGCAAAGGAAACAACAAACTTCTGCATTTTTGAGAGTTTTCACTGACTCCCTGCAGAATTACCTGCTCTCAGGGAGCTTCCCAACTCCAAACGCCGCCTCGGTCAGTGAGTATGGCCACCTGGCGGATGCGGACCCTCTGTCCACGTCCCCCGTACACACGCTGGGTGGCTGGACCTCCCCGGCGACATCGGAATCCCATGGTCACCCGTCATCTTCCACGCTGCCTGAGGAGGAAGAGGAGGAGGAAGAGGAAGGCTACTGTCCCCGATGCCAAGAGCTGGAGCAGGAGGTGATCTCACTGCAACAGGAAAACGAAGAGCTCAGAAGAAAGTTAGAGAGCATCCCAGGTACCCGGCCCTGTTACTTAAAAGCCACTTGCCACTCATTTCTTTCCGTTGCCCCATTTGTGTGTGTGCGTGCGTGTGTATATGTATGCGTGGTTTTTGTTGCTGTCTGTTGGAACCAGTGATGTAGAAAAGTTGAAACAACAGGCATGCGCAGTTTTAGTCTGCCAGTGCCAAACGGATTTCAGACTGAGCTACTAGTCTTGTCCTGTGTTTAAGTCACCATCCTCTAGGGTACAGACCTGAAGGCTGTAGTCCTATTAAGAGATGTCTCCATTGATACAGACGTGATTCCAAGATGCAGTGCGATGAGACGGAAATAGGCCGTGTGCTGTGGGCTTGGGTTTTCTTCAAAAAGTGGTCCTGTTCCTAAATAGCTTTTGTATCTAAAGATTTTGATATATGTGTTTTATCAGTCTGTGATAGAAACTGAAATGAAATGACACCTACAAAGGCAGCGCTCAGAGAACAAATTGTCTCTTCTGTTCCATTTATCTCTTGCCTTTCTTGTTAAGTTTCAACAGGTGTGGTTTCTTTAGCATGCAAACTCCCCTTAAAGTCAACAGGCAACTGTGAACTAAAATGAATAGCTCAAAGATAGGCTAGTCCCAAACTAGTTGTGCTCCTGGCTAAACATGAGGCATTCGCTGCCTCTCAGAGACACTAGATTTGCAGAGTACTAAAGTCATCTTTATGGCAAGATCTTCTGTGGGTTGCAAAGCCATTTTTTCCTTATTTGGGAAGGTTCTGATTTTGTATGTAGCTTTGAGTTCATTGCTACATGTCTGTGGCTTTGTAGAGAGACTGGCATGATATTGTAAATCAACTGTACTTCATTTTTTAAAAAAAAAAATGAAAAAAAGAATATATAGCAGTGCTAAATAAATAAAAGACAGTAAAACCTTTTTAAGAGGGATTCTCTGGCTGTCCAGTGGTTAGGAGTCTGCACTTTCACTGCCAAGGATTTGGGTTCGATCCCTTATCTAGGAACCAAGATCCCACAAGCTGCAGGGCATGGCCAAAAAAACGAGACATTAAAAACTTTTTAATCATGCAGCCCATTGATAAAAGATTTTGAGCATGTATCCACCAGTGTACACGTCCACTGATTATTTACATGCACGTACTACTATACTAACACATTATGTTCAAAGTAAAGCATACATAATACATTTAAAATTTTTAAGGCTGATCCATAAATAGAAATTATGTTCTTTTCCTTATTCAATGTCTTTGCATCACACAATTTGGCAGCTTATGTAGAAAGATGGAAATGTTGGTGAAAGTTACCCACTTGTTTATTAGAAGTGCCAAACCAAAAGTTTACTTTCTTTGGTCCTTTCATTTAAAACATTTCCTGGATCGTACTCTGGTTTGGCTCAGAATATCTTGGAGTTAGACTGCATGTAGTTTGTCCAGTGGGAGACAAGAAAGAGGTGAGGTAAATGCATTCTCGGCTGTCGCACTTGAGCCCTGGAGTTAGACGCAAGGTCTTGGCATTGTTCCTGCCAGGGAGACTGACTGCAGGAGAAAGACTGGCGGGACCCGGAAGAATGCGGTAGAACCAGAGACCTGTTGGTTTCTCCTGGTCAGAGAGAGAGGGGTGCAGCTAGCAGACTGGAATTTTACCACTTTCACAGTTGTGTGAATTGTGATCCATTAACTCTGGGTTTTAATGCCAAAAGGAGATGTTGCATCTTACCCCTCATGCTGTTTCATTAGGGGAGAGCACGGTGTCCTGGGGGTCAGCCAACGGCAGATTCTCAAGTGAGCTGTTCAGAACTGCGGCTAAGGGTTTCACAGTACAAGGACGTGTGATGCACGTGCAGGGTATTGTTACCCATTTCCTCATCCTGAATATTTGGCAAGCCAGCTGTCCTTGATAAACTTACTGAGCAAATTTGGGGTTCACTCCACCTGCTCTTTCCTGAATCTGTACAGGTGAAATGTCTGTGTCAGGAGTAAATCATTGTTGGCCTGCTTCTATTCATTGTCCTTTTCTACTGCCCAGAAAAACAAAAATGCTGCAATTTCTTGAGTTCTCTTGGTGGTGAGACATTGAGTGACTCTTGTTGAAAGAAGGCTAGTGATCACCGCTGTTGGTGTAAACACCCACCACTGTTACTATAAACTGTCACCTCCATGAACGCAAATGAACAGCCATTCTACATAGAGAACCTTGATTGCTTAATTAGTCCATTTGTTGTTCACTCACTCAGTTCTGTCTGACCCTCTGTGACCCCATAAACTGCAGGACCCCAGGCTTCCCTGTCCTTCACCGTCTCCCGGAGCTTGTTTAAACTTGTCCATTGAGTCAGTGATGACATGCAGCCATCTCATCCTCTGTCGTCCCCTTCTCCTGCCTTCAGAATTTTCTCCAGCATCAGAGTCTTTGTAATGAGTCGGCTCTTCCCATCAGGTGGCCTTCAGTTGCAGCATCAGTCCTTCCAATGAATATTCAGGTTTGTTTATTTTAGCTTTGACTGGTTTGATCTTGCAGTCCAAGGGATTCTTCAAGAGTCTTCTCCAACACCACAGTTCAAAAGCATCACTTTTTCGGTGCTCAGCTTTCTTTATGGTCCAGCTCTCACATCCATACATGACTACTGGAAAAACCATAGCTTTGACTAGACAGACCTTTGTTGGCAAAGTCTCTGCTTTTTAATATGCTGTCTAGGTTAGTCATAGCTTTTCTTCCGAGGAGCAATTGTCTTTTAATTTTGTGGCTGCAGTCACCATCTTGCAGTGATTTTGAAGCCCAAGAAAATAAAGTTCGTCACTGTTTTCTATTGTTTCCCCATCTATTTGCTGTGAAGTGATGGGACTATATGCAATGATCTTTGTTTTTTGAATGTTGAATTTTAAGCCAGCCTTTTCACTCTCCTCTTTGACCTTCATCAAGAGACTCGAGTTCCTCTTTGCTTTCTGCCATTAGGGTGGTGTCTTCTGCATATCTGAGGTTGCTGATATTACTGAAGCAATCTTGATTCCAGCTTGTGCTTCATCCAACCCAGCATTTTGCATGATGTACTCTGCTATAAGTTAAATAAGCAGGGTAACAATATACAGCCTTGACGTACTCCTTTCCCCATTTTGAACCAGTCCATTGTTACAGGTCTGGTTCTAACTGTTGCTTCTTGACCTGCATACAGGTTACTCAGGAGACAGGTAAGGTGGTTTGGTATTCCCATCTCTTTCAGAATTTTCCAGTTTGTTGTGATCCACACAGTCAAAGGCTTTAGCATAGTCAGTGAAGCAGAAGTAGATGTTTTTCTGGAATTCTCTGCAATTTGATCTCTGGTTCCTCTGCCTTTTCTAAAATCCATCTTGAACATCTGGAAGTTCTCAGTTCATATGATGGTGAAGTTGGGCTTGGAGAATTTCGAGCATTACTTTGCTGGCATGTGAAATGAGTACAACTGTATGGTAGTTTGAACATTCTTTGGCATTGCCCTTTGGGTTTGGAATGAAAACTTACCTTTTCCAGTCCTGTGGTCACTGCTGAGTTTTCCATATTTGCTGGCATATTGAATGTAGCATTTTCACAACATCATGTTTTAGGACTTGAAATAACTCAGCAGGAATTCCATCACCTGCACTAACTTTGTTCGTAATGATGCTACCTAAGGCCCACTTGACTTCACACTCCAGGATGTCTGGCTTTAGGTGAGTGATTACCATCATGGTTATCTGGGTCATTAAGACCTTTTCCATATAGTTCTGTGTATTCTTGCCACCTCTTCTTAATATCTTCTGCTTCTGTTAGGTCCATACCATTTCTGTCCTTTATTGAGCCTATGTTTGCATGAAATGTTCCCTTGGTATCTCTGATTTCCTTGAAGAGATCTCTAGTCTTTACTATTCTATTGTTTTCCTCTATTTCTTTGCATTGTTCACTGAGGAAGGCTTCCTTATCTCTCCTTGCTGTACTTCGGAACTCTGCATTCAGTTGGGTATATGTTTCCCTTTTTCCTTTGCCTTTCAGTTCTCTCCTTTTCTCAGCTATTTGTAAGGTCTCCTAAAGACAGCCGTGTTTTTCTTGTTTTTGCATTTCTTTTTCTTGGGAATGGTTGTGATCACCACCTCCTGTATAATGTCACACACCTCCATCCATAGTTCTTCAGGCACTCTGTCTATCAGATCTAGTCCCTTGAATCTATTTGTCACTTCCACTGTATAAGGGATTTGATTTAGGTCATACGAAAGAAAATCAGTCCTGAATATTCATTGGAAGGACTGATGCTGAAGCTGAAACTCCAGTACTTTGGCCACCTGATGCAAAGAACTGACTCAGTGGAAAAGACCCTGATGCTGGGAAAGATAGAAGGCAGGAGGAGAAGGGGACAACAGAGGATGAGATGGTTGGGTGGCATCACCGAATCGATGGACATGAGTTTGAGTAAACTCTGGGAGTTGGTGATGGACAGGGAGGCCTGGCGTGCTGTGGTTCATGGGGTCACAAAGAGTCAGAACTGAGTGACTGAACTGAATTGATCTGATACCTTTAATGGCCTAGTGGTTTTCCTTACTTTCTTCCATTTAAGTCTGAATTTTGTAATAAGGAGTTCATGATCTGAGCTACAGTCAGCTCCCTGTCTTGTTTTTGCTGACTGTATGGAGTTTCTCCATCTTTGGCTGCAAAAAATATAATCAGTCTGATTTCAGTGACTATCTGGTGATGTCCATGTGTAGAGTCATCTCTTGTGTTGTTGGAAGAGGGTGTTTGCTACGACCAGTGCATTCTCTTGGCAAAACTCTTATTAGCCTTTGCCCTGCTTCAATTTGTTCTCCAAGGCCAAATTTGCCTGTTATTCCTGGTATCTCTTGACTTCTTACTTTTGCATTCCAGTCCCCTATGATGTAAAGGGTATCTTTTTTTGGTTTTAGTTTTAGAACGTCTTGTAAGTCTTCATAGAAACGTTCAGCTTCTTCGGCGTTAGTGGTTGGGGCACAGATGGTTTACTGTGACATTGAATGGCTTGTCTTAAAAATGAACAGAGATC